ATTTTCCATGAGAGGAAATGGGGGATGAGAGAAACCTTTAGGGTGAGTTCTCCCTTGAAGTCAGCCCAACCTGAGGCTTAGGCCCAAACCCACTGCCATTGAGTGGTTCCGACTTCACAGCAACTGGTGTAGGCTTTCTGGGGCATTAAACCTTTAAGGTAGCAGACAGCTTTGTCGTGTCTCTCTCCACGGGAGCTAGCTGGTGGGTTTGAACTACTGACTTCGCGGCTAGCATCCCAGCGCCTAGCCCAGTCTGCTCTCCTCTCTTCTCTCCTCCTCCTCTCTGCCTCTGCATTCTCTGCACTCTCCTGTCCCACTCATCCTGGCTGTTGGAAACAAACCAGTGTAAGTCAAATAATGTTAGTGTCTAATTCCATTTTGTTTCTCCCCTTTTCCCACGACCACATGGGGTAGACTTTAAACCTATATAATTGGCAAGGCTCTTGACGAGACGAAATGACGGTCTCAGCTCCTCAGTCCAGAAGGAACCCCAGGAGGCAGCAGGGGGACGCTCTGCTTTTCCTGAACCTGCCGCACTCAACGTGGAGAAGCAGCACCAAGCAAAGGCTGCTGGGAGGTGGTCAGGGAGCGGTACATGTCAAAGATCCTTCTCCAAGGATTGTGGGCCTCTCAGGATTGGTTGATGAGAGGGAAGAGGTGGCTCGTGTCTCTGCTGGCCCCAGATTTGCCTTGTGCCCAACCCACAGGGGTGCACGTGGGGGGAAGGAAGCCCCTCACCAGGAGCCCTGGTTGGTGAGACAGAAAGAGTCCTTTTCTTTGGCAGAGGGGGTTTCTGAGGAAGCCCACAGGAGCACATGAGAGCTCACGGTGGCGGAGCCCTGAGGCCCCCACCAGCTTTGAGTGCATGAAGGCAGCAGCCAGACGGCTGCAGATTCCCTGGGAATCCAGTGGGCATCTCCCAGCGGGGCTAAATGGTGACCGGGTTGTCCCAAGACCGCTGCAGATTCCCTGGGAATCCAGTGGGCATCTCCCAGCGGGGCTAAATGGTGACCGGGTTGTCCCAAGAATGTTCACAGAGGACTGACTCTTGCTTAGCCCAGAGCTAGTGTTGCCTGGTGCCTGTCCTCCTGGGATGGTAACCTTCCTAATCGTTTCTCTCTGCTTCAGGCGGACAGATCTGAAGGATGCAGCTACAACTTCTGAAGGTGGTGGATGGCACCATACCTGAGCTGGGCCATGACACCACGTGGCTGTGATGCGGGCCCCTCATGGCCTCAGCAGGGACCGAGCAATACGGGATTGGCCTCCGCAGAGGAAGCAGCTTCCGGCAGAGTGACCCCTCAGGCACTGTACATGCCTCACCAGTTGAGAGACCCTCGGAGGGCAAAGTCTGGTCTCAGGCTCATCCGCAGGTGAAGCCCATCTGGAAGCTGGAGAAGAAGCACATGGGGACACTGTCAACAGGTCTGGGCCCGGGCCTCTTGGGTGCCCCACCACAACCAGCCTATTTTGTTTGCCCCAGCTCTTTATGTAGCGCTGGGGGCACGGCAGTCCTCGCAGGCCACAGCAGCTCCTGTTACCTGCACTCCCTCCCGGATTTGTTCAGCAGCACCCTGCTCTACCGCCGCTCCAACTACAGGCACAAGCCGTACCAGCAGCTGGAGTCTTTCTGCCTGCGGTCGAGCCCATCCGAAAAAAGGCCTTTCTCTCTCTCTCAAAAGCGCCTTCCTGCCGGTCTCACTGCCAATAAGGCCACGTTGCCCCCAGCCTCCCCTGTGGCCCAGCCCATGGCCTCCTCACCCACCGATCCGTACTTGGCATCACCGGGAGCAGCCGGAGAGAACTTCGCAGGGAAGAGCCCAGCCTCTGCCGTCTCAGGGAAGATCCCATCTCCACTCTCTTCCTCCTACAAGCCTGTGCTAAATAACAACTCCTTCATGCGGCCAAATAGCACTAAAGTGCCTTTATCCCAGACCCCAGAGGGCCTGAAGCCAGCATCCACCCCCAAGATGCAGGTTGTCTCCTGGCATCACCCAGGGGGTACTGGAGACTGTGTGCCCCAGCCCACTGATCATAAGACACCCCGAAGGAATGACACCGTCCTCCATGGAGCCGCTGCCCATGCCACCGTGTCAGCCCCTGGCTCCCTAGAGACCTTCGTCACCAGTGTTGCCTCTCTGCAGTACAACCAGAATAACTCGGCCATGCGGGCTGAGCCACATGGCTCGGGCCTGGATGACGAGCCTGACCCCCAGGGTCATGCTAAGGAGGTTCGGCTCACCGAAGCTGTGAGGAAGTTGACCGCAAGAAGCTTTAGAAAGGTTCCAAGACAGGGATACCAGTTTGAACAGTCTTGTTTCATGAACCCCAGCTTCCAGTGGGGTCTCCTCAACAAGGGCCCCCGGTGGAAACCCACCATGGTGGGCCAGCAGTTTCCTCCGGACGATGCCGGCACACACAACCAGAGTCTCCCTGGTGCCTCCGACACCTTGGGGTTGGACAGTACCGTCTTCTGTACCAAACGTATCAGCATTCACCTGCTTGCCTCACCTGCCAACGGGCTCAACCACAGCCCTACCTATGGATCCGAGGAGGACCCCTCACCACTTGAAGGAGGCAAAACTCACGTTCCCACTCCTTCCGCTCCACCACTTGGCATAGCAGATGTGGCCAGCCACCTCTCGTCCATCCGTCTGGACCAGCCTAGGAGGGAGCCTCAGGAAGGCAGACAGCTGGACTCCCCCGCCAGGGATGCCGAGTAAGTTGGGGAAGGTTTTTTGGGTCACTGAGCGTATGTCTTCGACAGTCGGTTCCGATGTTTCTCGCTGCCGTCGAGCTATGGCTTTCTATTAGGGCAGAGAGGTTGGCAACTGGAGTCTTGCAGGCCAAACCCTGTCTGCAGCCCCTTTTGTCCATGGAGTTCTCTTGGCACCAGAGCCTGCCTTCCTCGTCCATTCCCACACTGCCACTGCCTGCCCTCTTGCTGCACTAGCAGGGTGGAGTCGGTGCAACCGGCTGAAGGCCAGATAGTTACTGTCTGGCCCTCAAGTGTGTCCGACCAGGGGGAAATAAGCATCCTAAACTCCCAGTGTGGGGGGCCAAACCAAGTCAACTTGCCCGTGTCTGTCTCCTCCAGCTCTGGCAGCTCTCTTGGAGTGGGAAATGTCGGTGCTCAGCTCCTGCCCTCCTGCCTTGTTGCTGCTTTGGCCCCCTGGACCACAGAGGCCTTGTTCTGAGGCCCCTAGAACGAGGCGTAGGGATTTATTGATGGCAGAATGTATAGCCGAGGGACTTCAAAGAAGCTCCCGGAACATGCCTCTACTCAGAATAGGGGCTGCAAGGTCGAGGGACAGCGTTTGCTGTGTTTGAGCTTTGAGGACAAAAGAAATGAGTTGGAAGGTCCAGGCAAGGAGCAAATGGTGACTGGAGGAGACGTCAATATTGGGAGATGATAAAGGAATGAGGATCTCATTGTGAGCTCTCTTCCAGAGATGGCTGGGCTGAGGGAATCATCCTTTCTTACAGTTCAGCTACCGACCTCCTGACAGACCAGGTTGAAGCTGAAGATGTTGACGAAGATCTAGTGGACAGTTTGGAGGACTGCTGCAGCCATGATGAGAATGAAGAGGAGGAGGGTGAGTAGGGGACCCCTTACCTCCAGCGAACAGCTCCTCCCATGAAGATAGAGATGGGCGCTAACGATGGTAGACAGGGTTCTTGTTGCACTTGATCACCTACACTAATCACTGGCCTCAGGGAGGTGGGGCAGTAACTTTCGGGGGCCTTTAACACTGTGTGCCCGCTAGTCTTGCCTTGTCCCTGTTGCCTTGGAGCCCAAGGAAGGTGGTGCAAGGCCCAGGGTGGTGTTCATGACTCCCCAAGAAGGGCCGAGCCCGGGATGCCCAAGGAGGACTGTGAGGAGGCGTGCCAGGTTCCCGTGACAACCTGTCTCCTAGTGAGAATCCCTCCCCTCTTCCCTCCCCCAGGAGACTCGGAGTGCTCCTCATTCAGCGCTGTCTCCCCCAGCGAGTCCGTGGCGGCAATCTCTCGGTGAGTGTTGGCTTGGCAGATCATTCCTAGACGCTGCTCGGTTTTCTCTCAAGACGAGAGCGCTTCCTTCCCAGTTTATCCCTGAACACGGAAGGCAGGGAACACACCCCGGTTGACCTTGGAAAACAGTGCTGTGATTTATTTCCAGCTGAAGCTTGGGCTTCAGACCCTGAGAAATTGTTCAAGTGAAAAAGCAAATCGTTTTAAGGAATGCTAAGACCATCAGTGGCCAGTTGGCGAAGGCACGCAGAACTTTTCCCTGCTCTCCAAAGATCGCTCTTACGGTGTGTTCCATAAACGAAGAAGCAAGTACCGTTCATCTGTGTGGGGAGACTCTGAGTACACCCAGGCCCCCCAAATAACCTTAACTAACCTTATCATACCAGTAACACACACAACCAGCCGGGGTGGGTGGGGGTGGGGATAGAGCCTGGCGGCACCCTCTCGAGGCTCTGGGTGGGCACTGCTTCTTTAACTGACTCGCTGCCAGAGGCTGAGCACTAGTTTGGCTTTTTGTCTCTTTTTTTTGTACAAACGAAAACCTTCTTTGGATTTCTTTCCCTCAGTGGAGACAGGCACCTTACTTTCCGAAACACAACGTGGTGTAAAGCAAAATCAGGGCATACCTAGGGTAATGCTTGAGGTAAATGGTTCAGCCTCCAGGCCACCCCCTGAAGGGGCCCTCCTCTCCGCCCTCCAAAATGACCTCTGCCTCAGAGGGCATTCCGAGACAGAGCCCTGAGCCTTGCAAATGCTCTTTTGCTGCCTTCCAAGGTCGGTTTTCTTTGGGGCAATATGACTGACATTAACCTTAGTAATAAGAAATTGAGTTGAAAATTCTCTGCCTCTAATCCAGATCATTTTTATGCCTGCCTCTTGTGGAATCTAAGGATGTGTATCGTCAACTAAACCAACAAACCCAAGCCCAAACCCACTCCCAGTAAGTGGGTCTGGCTCATAGCGACCCTGTAGCGCTGCGCCTGGGGCTCCCCAAGACTGTAAATCAATCTGTACAGCAGCCGACGGCCTCTCTTTTCTCCCATGGGGCAGCTGGTGCATTGAGACGGCTGACCTTTCGGGCTAGCAACCCAGTGCTCTAACCCCGGCACCACTACGGCTCCTCTTTAACTAGAGAACCAAAAACCCCTTCTTTCAATACAGGCCTTCTTTGGTAAAACAGATAGTAGGAGGGACCCTGTGTCCTGAGATAGCAGTTAAGGCGAGAGGAATGATTGAGCCCCAGCAGCATGAGAGTTAAGTGCTCCGCTGCTAACCTAGGGTTGGTGGTTGGCTTTGGACCCACCCTGCAGCTCTTCGGAAGAAAGGCCTGGCAGTCCACCTCGGAAACCCTGTGGGCCAATCTCCTCTATCACAGATGCTAATTGTCACCCCATGCAGGGCAGCGAAGAACAGCAAACTGTGATTCACACCACCTTTCTGGGCAATAAGTTAACATCCTCCAATAAAATCTTCCTTACTCTTCTCACCACTTCCCGCTTTGCCTTAATGAGGCTCTGCGCCAATTTAATGTATTGTTTTTATTTAATATCGAATAGACAGGGGTGCTTCCAAAGATTGGTGGAGGAATTGAATGAAAAGATCATGGAGTTTTTGTTTGTTTGTTTTGAACAGAGTTTTTTAAGATAGTTTAATTGGTATGTAATGCACATATCATAATTTCAAGTTCAATCATATCAAGAAGAGTTGTATAATCATTACCACAATTTTAGAACTTTTCTTTTTTTTTTCCTTTTACTCATTATTATTAGTTTCCCTCCCAATATTCCCAGCCATACCCTCAAGAAACCATTTTTTTTGCCTTCAAATGATTTTTAAAATCATTTTATTGGGGGCTCGTACAACTCTTATCACAATCCATA